ATATAATTATTTGAGTGGAGCATATTTTTCTTGGCCTTACTTAACAGGATTAGTTGCACTCTTTGGTATTGAAGGTATTTTTAACAAACACAGCGAATATCGTGGGAACATCTTGAAGCTACTGAAGGTCCACAGTCTTAAGTTCTATTTCTTCATATTATTTTCTTCCTACAGCCCCCTTCTCATCTGAATTTTATTGTTAAGAGGGACCTGGCTATTTGTTTGAAAAATGAACTGTCGTACTGGAAAGTGAACGTTGCTGAGTTCTTACCATTTCTTTTTCTCTTCCATCTGTGGGGCTGTTGCCTAAGCATTACTCAAGCAAGAGTCTGCACTGTGCAAGGCTCTGGCTGGTTTTGTGTTCTAGCCAAAACATGCAGTAATGGGAATAATCAACCATGTAATACAAAGTTGTATCAATGTCTATACTCTCTTAACTCTCATGTGAAATGTCTGATTCCTCTCCATGTTATTGTTGCACTGCCATCAAGAATAATGTGACACTTTGAGCTAATTTCAGCCATAGTGTGAGGAGCTCTTTCTCAAGTAAAGTAGATGGAGTTTACACAAAGGCTAAGTTTGGTCCTTTGACTTCTGCTTTTTGGGCATTGTCAGGAACTGTGTTTCTAGAGGATTTCCAAACATGTTCCTCCTTTTTGCCTTTTTTTGCCCTTGATTTGCCTCTCCTCTTTGGGGTTTGGTGTTACAGCATCCGTTCTTCTCTTGGGGGTGAATGTGTGCGCCCTGCATAGCATGTCAATGCTGCTTCTGCATCAGCAAGAGATTTGCTGCAACGTCAAATGAGATCAGAGTATGCTGCCTCTCACTCCATGCCAAGATAGGGAGCAACAGACTAGATATGAAGCTTGAACTGTGGTGTCTTGAGTGCTCTCACCTTGGAGCAACAGGAGGAAAAGTGTGTGTGTTGTATACACAATACACTGGTTGCTCATTTACTTTCCCTCTCCTCATAAGAATGAAAAGAAGTCCACTTAAAACTGTACCATTCAGGAGTGGTTCTTTCATTCTCGCCTCACTCATAAAGATAAATGGCGTAAGAGACTGAGCATCACTTATTTGTGTATAATATAGGTCAGCTCATTCTCCCTGAATCTTATGTGCTGTGTTATTGCTAAATTAATGGATTGAAATGATCTTGTCAGCTTCCAGACAATGGTGCAAATGGACACCACTCTCTCCAGTGATTGCAACCTGCTTGAAAGGGTGTATTAAATGTACTGTAATCCCCTGTCCATAACATAAAAACTGCCTTTATATAATCAATCATTTAAAAAAAAATACATTATGCCTGGAAGAAATTATTTGCTACATCTCTGCAATCTTTTTTTCCCTAATGCAGCTATCCTAGAGATGAGGAATAGTATGAATTGTTGGTAACCTGGAGTCATTATTGGATTTTGGAAAGTGATCAGTATATGTAAATATGATTCTGTTTTAGTTAATAGAAAAGTCTACTTGAGCTATATTTCCATACTGAAAAATATCCTTATATATGGAACTCCTCATCAGGAGTGTAATATTTAGCAGCATTTTAAGCAACAATTAACTGTTCCCCACACACTAATACCCTTGCTCCTGTCCTTCCACACACTTTCCTACTTATCCACCCCCCAGGGTAGTTCAGCTATTAGATCTCTTTTCAGCGAGTATTTATACAGCCAGATTTCAGGTCTCGATAGCCATCAGTGCTCCATTAAAATATTGTATGTTCTTCATGTAGAAAGTGCTGTAGTACATCAGATACTTGTCATTTTGGTCAGAGTCTGTAACTTTTGCAGGGAGGAGGAATCTCTTATACCACAGTCTCAGAAAAGGAAGTTAGTCTGCAGACCAAGAAGCAGCTCTCCAAGAAGAGCAGAGCTGTGCTTTCTAAATACAGTTGCACTGGCTGCATTTGGTGGTGTCTTACCCTTATTTTTGTGTTTGGCCAGTTTGTTTCAGCAAAAGGAAATTGCCCACTTATCTTCACACTATACTAACTGGTGTAGGACGCACAATTATATAGAATCATAGAATATCAGGGTTGGAAGGGACCTCAGGAGGTCATCTAGTCCAACCCTCTGCTCAAAGCAGGACCAATCCCCAGTTTTTGTCCCAGATCCCTAAATGGCCCCCTCAAGGATTGAACTCACAACCTTGGGTTTAGCAGGCCAATGCTCAAACCACTGAGCTATCCCTCCCCCCATATGGTTAACTTAATGGGCATTGAATGCCAAGGAAGCTCCTAATGTTAAATAACACTAATGTGGCTTTGCAACCTTGCCTTTAGTTAATCTGTGCATCTATCTAGTATGTGGGGTAGTACCTCATCTCTAGAAAATGCATTACTGTACTTAATCTCTAGATCTCAAAATACTTTATGAAAGTGCGTGAGGAAAATCCTTCTCTTAGGGAAACTGAGGCAAAAGAGGTTAAGCAAAGAGGTTAAGGTTTAAATCTTTGGAAGAACTTTAAAAAACAAAAATCCTTTTCTGTGCTGAGCCTTGGCATGCCAAATCTGTCACCATTGTTATACTGCCTTACTCATGCTGGCAAGGTTCTGGGGTGAATGAGAAGGAATTATCTGCTTTGTGAGGTTTATGAAGTAATATAGAAAGTGTGTCTTCAAAAGCTTTATTTTGAGGCCTTGGGCAGGATAGTTTGGTTCAATCAATCTTTAAGCATTTTGTCTTCCCTTTTCTACCAACTCTTCTGGGTTTTTATTTTGTTATAGTGGCTACTTCTCTCTCATCCATTAGGCTTATCCCAATTTTAATTATTGTCCTTCAGGTTCTATAGCACCCAGGTACCTAATGATAGATGTTATGTATAAAAAAAAAACAAACAAACCCAAGCCTGCTGATGCTACTGTAAAGACAGCAGTAAAGATTTAGGACTATTTGTGCTAACTTGCATGTGCCTGTCTCTATTGGTGTTGATGGCTTCAAGCAAACAGCTGGCAAAAACAAAATAAAATTAACTTACTCAATTACATATTTGTTTATTCAAGAAAAAGGTAACTTTTTAAAAAAATCATGTTTTTCACGACAAGTTGGTGGTAACACTGTATTTTTAGCATTTTCTTGACTCATCTGTGTTGAGAATCTCTGATCAAAGGTGTATATACGTGTGAAGTATTATTACAGTTCTAAATGTTTGACTAGGTAATGTAGGTAGATATGAGATATATTCATCTATTACAGAATTTCATCACTGACTTCACATTTCTTCTCATTTCACACCTGAATGTGCTTTAATGCTGTACAGTTCAGATGGGAAACGCCTTTTCTTAGGTTACCTCAGCTATATTCCTTCATTTTCTTTCCATAGTCCTCTGTCCCCTATCTAAGGTCAGACAAAATAAAGTAATATGTGTCTCTGGAACTGTAACTCTTTTCTGATCTGGTTACCTGCTTTGTGTAGACAAATAGAATCCATTATTGCTCAGCCCCAAATGCTGAGGATCAAGTGGGTATTTATAGAACCTCCCACATATGATTCACTCATTCGTGTAAAATAACTGTTCTCTAGTTAATGTTTTGCTTTTGTATTCATGCTAGACATTTTTTAATGTTTCATTTTTTCAGACTGCATTACATTATTTTAAATTAAAATATGATTAATAACCAATGAAACTTTTTTTTTACATTATCCCTTAATATTGTAACTATAACATTCTTACAAAGTAATCAGTAAAGAACAAAAGCATGACTACTTTTTGGGGAGGGAGAGATGGTTAGAACATAACTTTCTTTTCTTTCCCACAAAATAAATTAAACCCATATTCTCAGATTAGCGTTCTTAAATTAAAATAGTATCTGGCGACAGTGCATTATCATTGTTGCCGTTGTTTAATGGAACATTGGTGTTCTGCCTAACATAGCAAAAAAATAAGACTACTGCTCTAAAATCTAATTTGTTTGGTTTATAAGCACTCTGTGGCTTCAAGTTTACAATAAATCTAGGTATAACTTACATGCAAATTGTAAAAGGCCTGATTTTTTTCAAAATTATAAGAGCACAAAATGCATATACAATTGTATGCCCCATTTGTATATGCAATTTTCATGACTGCATATACAAATGTGCAACTGGCCATTTGTGAGTTCAGATAGCAGATTTGTGGGTACAGTTGTAATTGTATGCAATTTTTGAAAATCAGGCTCATAAGGTCTGTTCCTTGTATTAAAATTAATGTTAAAAAGAAAAATAAACAGGATTTAAAAAGAAATGATCTTACATAATAGATTGCCAACTTGCTTTTTCATGGGATAGAAACTACAAATCAGTGTCTCTAAAAAGATGAAAACATTCAAAACAAACTAGTTATTTCCAAGAAAATGTTGAATACATAAAATTAAAACATTGGTGGCTAATATGTATAGGCTTTCCTTTTCTTTCTCTATAGATTTCATTGAGCATCTTTTTATTTTGCACTTGAAACAATTTTTTCAGCAGGGTTGGCTAATGCTCCTCAAATTTTGGGGTGTTATCCAATTAATCAAACCAAACAGCAACTTCAAAATCACCACTGCCTTTCTGGCATTATGGGCTAAGTATTTGTATTGGAACAAACAAAGCTGATTTACCAGAAATGCACCTCTATACACAAAAAGGAAAGGAGGGTGTTTTCCTCTATTTTGTTATATCTGTGTGCTAATTTGCAAGTCTGCGAATGTGCTTCTGAAAGATCTTGGTTTCCACGCTCTCATGTAGCTTGCTGACCTGAAATGTGTCTCTGATATGATCTTGACTTCACACTCTGGGCCAAAAGGATCTTTGACTGGGATACATCAGTAAGAAATGGACCATGTAATTAAACACTAAATTGTAATATAGGGTGGGAAAGAAACTAGGTCCCTTTCTCCACCAAGGAAGGAAAGGATTCACAACTTTCTGTATATCTGGGTATTTTCCCCATTAGTTTCAGGGAAAGAATGAGCCTGAGCTGTCCAAAGTCTGCGAGTAAAAGGTGGTGTTTTCTTTTTTTTTCTTCACAGCTGCGTCGCATGCAGGAAATGATTGCACAGATGCAGGCCCAGATGAGGATGAAGCCTGGGGATGAGTGAGATGCTGAACATGTGGCTAACAAGGTACATTTTTTGTTTTGTTTTATGTAGCTATTATTCTCTTCGTTAAAATCCTGCACCATGCTTCATTGATTTGCTAGCAAGTGAAATCTTTGGTAACTTCCTCAAATTGACTTTAGTAAACACGGGGCTTTGTATTTGCCTTTACAAGGAGTCTGTTTCTACAGCTCCTGGCACATTGTGGGTGTTGTCAGAAACAAATTAATAACCAGCAAAGAGCTTCAGTTACCGAACTGAAGAAGAGGTGTAATGAACGGTTTGGGCTGATATAACTGATTTGCATACTGGTTGTCCAGCTACTATAATGCGCCATCCTGATAATCACTACAAAAGGTTTTTTTTCTCCTGCTGATAATAGCCCACCTTAACTGATTACTCTCGTTATAGTGGGTATGGCAACACCCATTTTTTCATGTTCTCTCTCTCTGTGTGTGTGTGTGTGTGTGTATATATATATCTCTTCCTACTGTATTTTCTACTGCATGCATCCGATGAAGTGGGTTTTAGCCCACGAAAGCTTATGCTCAAATAAATTTGTTAGTCTCTAAGCTGCCACAAATACTCCTCATTCTTTTTGCTGATACAGACTAACATGGCTACCCCTCTGAAACCTGCCTCTATAGTTAGTCTAGATCATTTAACTTCCTGTTTTGGGCTATTATCTATAAGAAATTAAATTGCATACAGCCCTTTTTTCATTTTCACTGTAAAGAGTGAATGGTGTCTGTCAGATTGGTCCACTGAACTGAGTAAGTCATTTAGTGGAATCCAGTCACGTGAATTTTTCTGGGATCTCCCTCCTCTCAGATGGTGGTTTCTGATTCTGATAATATCGCCTCTGAAACTCCAGGGCTCCTTTCAACAGTCTGTATATATATTGTGCTGCCTTTGCCTTCAAATCAAAACTAAATCTTTTCAAGGTGTGTCAGTAAATGAAGAAAAGTATGTATATCAATGTGAGATTCACTTCTAGATTTGCTAAATATTATACGGAAACCACCCATTAATCACAGCAGAGAATACACAAATTATCCAGCAGCTCATTTTATCTGAGACACTTTGCTGCTTGCTCTAGAAGGCTAGTCTGTGAATTAGATTTGCCTCTTGGCTGACATGATCTCTTCACCCGTTACATCTCTTCACTGCAATGCCTGCTGGTGTGCACAATAGCCAGTAGGGAGGCTTTTTCCCACCATACAGCAGTAGCATGAAGTGTTTCAGTCCTGTTCTCTTCAAACGATAAAACCTCAGAGGGCCATAGCTTGTTTCCAGCCCTCTGCTCTATTCTGGTTGCATATATCCGTCTTCAGCAGGAGTAGCTGATTTGGCTTCAGTTTGCCCTCCGTTCAGGTGTCTGTAGTTTCCTGTGGCATTTCCCCCGCTTGTCTCTCTCAAATATTATAATTGTTTGAAGTGTTGTAGCCATGTTGGTCCCAGGATATGAGAGAGAGACAAGGTAGGTGAGGTAATATTTTTTATTGGACCAGAAGTTGGTTCAATAAAAGATATTACCTCACCTACCTTGTCTCTCAAGTATTATAATGCAAGACTTTACTGAGGTAAGTCAAGATTGCAGACACTTACCAGTATGAGTGCATATTTCCTTTCAAGAATGTTACTGGCTGATACTTTAACATCACTTTCAGGAGTAAGTAGAGTTAATAACTGTGGTAACTTGCTTATATGGAAAAGTAAGTATAGCCATCATCCTGTATAAGCAGTCTGCTTAATAAACTGACAGTGTTTGCAAAGTGTTAGAGGAAAAAATAGTGGACAAATCAAACTTGTTTATTGGATGTGTACTTTCTTGATGTCAGAGTCTACATATGGTATATTAGTCCCTGGGGCCAGCATTCAAAACTTGCAAGCGCTCAAGGGGAATCACTTTTTATTGTAAATCCCTGTGTTTTCTTCAGGATGCAGAAGGCATAGTTCTTATATTTTCTTAAATACAAGAATAAAAAATAGAAACATATGAGGAGCCTTGTTCCTGTTGTTTGATACTTCAGTTTAAAGTTTAAAGTTTAACTGGGAATTGGTCCTGCTTCGAGCAGGGGGTTGGACTAGACGACCTTCTGGGGTCCCTTCCAACCCTTATATTCTATGATTCTATGAATGCTCCAGTTTTGATTTGCTGGAATGTAAAGCCTGAATAAAATGGATTATATTATCCCTTCTGACCTTGTGACAGCTGCCAACATTCCAGGCCTAAAATAAGGAGATTTTTGTTGCCTTTACTTGAACCTTCACTTTTCCTGTTTACGTTTAAAAAAACCCAACAACCCTAGAACTTTTTAAAGTTAAGCCTCGAAAAGGAGTAAACTTGTCCACTGGGCCCCTATTAAAGAAGACAAAGTTCTACTGGTATATACACCATGTTCCCTGATGAAAGCCATATTAAAAAAAAAAAGGTAAATTAAAAAAAAAATCAAACTCCGGTCTTTTTCACCCTGTCACAATTCCAAATTCCCAACAAATGGATAAGCCTTCACAACTGAGACCAGACTGACCGTGTCTCCTCACCTCTATAGTAAAATACATAGTCCCAGAATTGAAAGACTAAACACTAAGGAAATTTCTTGTGGTTGACCATACTGTGTATACAGTAGCAATGACTCACTATTAGTCTTCTGCATACATAGACAGTAGCTGGTAACTTTATGGGGTTTTTTAAATGCTGTAGTTTGAATCAAAGGTGGTTCTGAGGTCCTGGGAAATTAATGGTAGCCCTTTTTTTGGTATGTCCAAACCCTTTGATTTTTTATTTTTTTAAATGAGACAGCTATTTTCATAGGAAATATTTTGAAAGTACTACTACTCACCTTGCCAAAGAACCCAATCCTTGTTGATAATTGCAGATTACATATTTACACAGTCTCCTATAGAAATCACTATATAAAATCACACTCAGAATCTAGCAAAATTCTTTCCTAATTGTTGCCTGCAAAGCACACTTGAACACTGTGTGCACACAAGAATATCCAAACATTTTACTTTGATCCCAGTGCTCAGACACTGGCCCAGCTATGAAATTCAGTAGCTGAGAGCTGGCAGAATGCAATACTCTGAACACTGGTTGTCTAATAACGGGACTAAGTTCTCTCTGGTTCAGAAATCCCATATCCAGCTCTGCCATAAGTAGCTTTTTAAAAATTGGAGCAGGGTTTATCCCAGGTCAAGTTTGCAACCATGGACACATGGGCAAACAAAGGTCTGGACATGATGGTATGTGTCTGGGTACAAAGTGTTTTTGTGGGTGCTTTGCATTACTCACTGAAATATAGCCTCCCCTAAGTATCTGAATTACTCACAGACCAAAGGACTAATGCTGTGAACTCTCATATCTCACATCATTTTCATTTTGATGCAGAATAAAAACCTGAGAACTAGACCATTTCAGTTTCCTCCTATAAATGTCATCCCAGCAATACCTGTAAAATAGATTAGTTGTAGGAAAGGATAGTTTCTAATGAAATATTTGTATAAACATGCTAAATCTATCCTAAAACATTTGAAAACCACATGTAGGCTGGAAATACTGGGATTGAACACATTTTGAGAAATGGATTTGGCTGAGAAATGCTGTGGCTGTGAGGTGCATGTTATCTATAGGTCTCACCATTTCTTAAGCCTCTGTCTAGACAGGGGACTTGTCAAAACCAGATCACCAGTCATACCATGTTCTGAATAGAATTTTGACGATTCCTCAGTTTTTCCCTTCAAGATGCTCATACTATTCTTCCATATGGAACAGATCCTCAGCTAGTGTAAATTGTCATAGCTCTGTTGACTAAACCAGACCACTGACATGGGATCCTGTTGTCACTTTGGAGAGGGCACAAGAGCTTGGGCCCGTCCCTCTCCTCAGAGGTTGAACATTCATTTACTCCTCAGGAGTACTTGCACCAATAACTCCCAGAACGGCCCCCAGTGTATCTTTAAATGGAACAAAGCATATTCAAAATTGATAGAGAATAATTGAAAACAAAGGTGGAGCTTCAAAGCTGTGTAACTAGGTCTAAGGTTTCTTATCAGTTGAACAGAATTTCTTGTATTATAGGTGAAGATCTTACATCCTGAGCTTAGCCACGTGTTTTTCTTTGGTTTTGCTGAGGTAATGAATCTCTACAAAGCCAGGCTTTATTGCAGAGGTGGGGAGGGCACTTAACAAACACTAACTGGAAGACTTTTGAAAATATATGGAATGAAGGGGACACGGAATAGGTGGAGATTATAGACAGGAAGGAATGAACTGTGTAGAGCCTTGAAAGAGGATGGGTAGATCAAGTTTGATATGGAAGAGTGGAAATCTGTGAAGAGATTGGAAAGGAGGTGATGGTGGAGGAGACATAATCAGCAATGAAAGAGGAAGACGTTCTTGAAAGCAGTGATAACCAATACGTGCACATTTCATGATCTGTTCCAGATCTGTGGGAACTGTTGTTTTTTCTGCCCTCCTCTGATGATTAAAGGGTCTTAGAGAGAGCAGCCCCACCAAATGTGCGTGGGCTGCTTTGTGCACATGCCGGGCTGCTGCCTTTTCACTTTCAGCTTTGCTGTTGCAGCTATAGTAAATGCCTTCTTGCGGGTTCAGGCGAAGTATGTGTATGTGAGCACCTTCCTACTCACAGAACTGTGCCTAAGTGGTGGTGACAGGCTAATGGATGAGTCCAGTGCAACTGGCCATGAACAAAACAGTTACCCTCATGAGTGTAGTCAAATATACAAAGTATATAAACTGGAAACGTATTTTCTCTTAATTTCTGTTACAGTTGGTGTTTGTATGTGAAGTACGTACAAAATTTTCAAGCAAAAATAATTTTCCTTCTAAAATACAGGAAAATATGTGTCACTTTAAATACAAAAGCTGTCTTCATTCTTGTGTTTTGAGGATTTAAGCAAGAGATTTGGAGTGTGAGAATAATTAACCAAAAAACTAAACCAGACTTAGCTTTCTTTGGCAGGTTAGCAGGCACAATGTATGTATTTGCAAAGTTTCTCCTAACCTGTTAGATTAGAAGGTATACTATCAGAGTTAGTGCCAGTCTCTAAATCTGCCTTTCTCAGATGAATAACTTGTACAAGATGATGAGGTTTTTTTTTAGCTGAAAATGATTGCGGGTAGGTGGTGGAATTTTTTTCTCCTTAAAGCAGAGAACTCAGCTCTCTGTCTGTTTTCCCCCTTCTCATTCCTGCAGATCTGGATTGCCATTATCTTTCACTCCATTGTCCTGGATAGCTTCAGGGTGGTGTTGGGACAAAGGCAGTATAAAATAAATATAGAGAGATGGAAGTATATTCAGTAAGACCGACATCTTGTTCCTATAACATCTGTAGAAAATGTTGAAAAGTTTTTAGCATAGCTGGCCATTTCCATGATTGCATAGAGAGTTGTTAACAAAGTTGCATGTTTTGTGTTTACACTGTTCATGTTCCTGACAAGCGTAATACAAAAGAAAGGAAGTAAGTAGCTAGTTCCTAATGGATAACATGATGATTAAAAAAAAAAAAAAGCTCTGTACTGTCATAGCAACCAGCCTTATAAAGTGGTATTGTCAGATGCCAAATTGATGTGATGAGAAATGTCATCTGAGGAAGAATGTAGCATGCTGTAGTTTTTGGCAGATGAAATGTGAACCTCAGGGAATGTAAAGCTTAGGCAAATTTTTAGTTTTTGGAACAACCACCTGGCACAGCTTGTGGATGTGTTTTTTAGCTAGAATAGATGGGCTGCAACATTCTCCCATTTCTTTGGCTTTTCTAGATTCTGAGTATCAAGTCAGTCTGTCAGCACCACAGCTTCTGTTCAGCGTGTTGCACTTTTTTTTGCAGAGGGGAGGCTGCAGCTTAAAACTTTCATTCTCCCCTTACCAGTGAGAGAAAAGCTGTCACTCCGAAACACTGAACTCTATGCTGGTGTTCATATTAGTCTCTAAGGTGCCACAAGTACTCGCTTTCCTTAGAGGCACTGTAGATGGTGGATGGACCTTGCCGCTAGCTTGCATAGAAAGGTCTTGTCAGTGATCTTAAAAACTTTAGCCAAGGGTATGGAGGCTGGTGTGCTTTCGCTAGTTTATAATGCGCAGTAACTCACGGTGTTCAAATGAGACAGTGTGATCAAGTGATTAGAGCAGGGTTGGGGTAGGGGACTTCTGTCATTGCCTTACTCTGACGTTGGGCAAATCATTTACTCTCTCTGCCTTATTTTACCCACTGTGTTTACCTTGCCAAGGCTGTTAAGGCTAGTGTTTGTAAAATGGTAAACTTCTTGCATGAAAAGGCAGTCTATGCATGGAAAGTGCTATAATTCTTGAAATAGTGCTCTGTTCAGCCAAAATATGAATAGTGCCCCATAGCCCCTTATCCATCCAGAATGCCCTGGATTGATAGATTGTCTCTTGAATGTTGTTAGGAATATAGTCTAAGCACCACTTTCCTTTTTATTCTAATCCTGGTTCTTCCACAGTCTCCTTTATGGTATGTCAACCCAGCAAAGAAAAACCTGCAGCTGGCCTGTGCCAGCCTGCTTGGGGATGTTTTATTGCTGTGTAGACTTCTGGGACCTCCAGAGTGCTAGAGTCTGGTTCAGCCCAAGCCCAGAAATCTACACAGCAATAAAACAGCCCCACAGGCCAAGATCTGCAAGCCCAAGTTGGTTGGCACAGGCCAGCCATGGTCTTTTTTTGCTGTGTAGACATGCCCTTAGTGGCCTTGAGTGAATCACTTAGCTTCTGTCAGTTTTCCCCTGGGAGTAATGCAACACCTTGTAAAGGTGGTGGTTTTCAAAGCACTGTATATAAAAATTATTCTTCACTAAGTGCTAAGAAAGTCATTTTTGACTGGTGTCTTTCCTCTTGTTCTGTAGAACTTTATTTGGCTTTTAATCCACTCCTTCTGTATGCTGAGTTCCCAGGAATTCAGTGCTTCTTCAGGGCCTGCTTCTGTGGGGAATTCTGCAACAGCAAAGGGCATTCTACAGTTCCCTACACTATATTGTGTACCAGGAGTTATACGACTCCAAGATCCCTCGCTCTTCAAAATTCCATTCCTGTCAAATCTTATCTGTCAGTGCTGTTATGGCTAAACAGTAGGGGTAGAAATGGAAAAACACAGTACGTGACAACTCTAAATGTTATCTGTCTAATGTAGTGTTTCATTTTTATTTTTTAAAAAGTAGAGGATTCAATTAACCATTTGGAAAACTTCTGTAGGCTGACCGAAAAAGTTTCATACTGGTTGGTGGTATAAAACAAAATGCCTAAGACACAACTCTGCAAGACAGGAGGTTTTGAAGTGCTGGACTTATTTCTTTGAGTGAAAATAAGCTCAGCATGATGAGTGAAATGTCTGGAATGATGATGAAAAATGATGGGATAAATTCCCAACAGTGCAGATGCATTCCTATGTAATCATTTCATATGACACACCCTGTACCTAAGCATCAGCTGTTCTGTCAGTTAACACACAAATGAAAGTTGGCTTGGTTCGCTAAGTGATCCCACAGCAGAAAGACTATCCATTGTATCAGATAATTTTTGTGTGTTACAAAGGCAGATTATTTTATCTTAAACATTGGGTTGTGTTTTTCATTAGTTCCTTTTGAGAAATCTTGACAGATTTTGTGTATGTGCATGATATTATAAATTTGAATTAAAATAACTAGGGCTGTCAAGCGATTGGGGAAAAAAAATCGTGATCAATTGCACTGCTAAACAATAATAGAATACCATTTATTTAAATATTTTGGATGTTTTCTACATTTTCAAATATATTGATTTTCAGTTATAACACAGAATACAAAGTGTACAGTGCTTACTTTATATTTATTTTTGATTACAAGTATTTGCACTGTAAAAAAACAAAAGTAATAGTATTTTTCAATTCATCTAATACAAGTACTGTAGTGCAATCTCTTTATCATGAAAGTTGAACTTACAAATGTAGAATTATGTAAAAAACAACGACCTGCATTCAGAAATAAAACAATGTAAAACTTTAGAGCCTACAAGTCCACTCAGTCCTATTTCTTGTTGAGCCAGTCGCTTAGACAAACAAGTTTTTTTGCATTTGCAGGATTCTGCCTCCCGCTTCTTGTTTACAATGTCACCTGAAAGTGAGAACAGGTGTTCACATGGTACTATTTTAGCCGACGTTGCAAGATATTTACATGCCAGATGCGCTAAAGATTCATATGTCCCTTCATGCTTCAACCACCATTCCAGAGGACAGCTGATGATGGGTTCTGCTCGATAACAGTCCAAAGCAGTGCGGACCGACGCATGTTTGTTTTCATCGTCTGAGTCAAATGCCACCAGCAGAAGGTTGATTTTCTTTTTTTGGTGGTTCGGGTTCTGTAGTTTCCGCATTGGAGTGTTGCTCTTTTAAGACTTCTGAAAGCATGCTCCACACCTCGTCCCTCTCAGATTTTGGAAGGCACTTCAGATTCTTAAACCTTGGGTTGAGTGCTGTATCGATCTTTAGAAATCTCAGATTGGTACCTTCTTTGCGCTTTGTCAAATCTGCAGTGAAAGTGTTCTTAAAATGAACAACATGTGCTCAGTCATCATCTGAGACTACTATAGCATGAAATATATGGCAGCATGTGAGTAAAATAGAGCCGGAGACCTACAATTCTCTCCCAAGGAGTTCAGCCACAAATTTAATTGACGCATTATTTTTTTAACAAGCGTCATCAGCCTGGAAGCATGTCCTCTGGAATGGGTAGCTGAAGCATGAAGGTGCATACGAATGTTTGGCATATCTGTCATGTAGATACCTTGCAATGCTGGCTACAAAAGTCCCACGTGAATGTCTGTTCCCACTTTCTGATGACGTAAATAAGAAGTTGGCAGCATTATCTCCCGTAAATGTAAACAAACTTGTTTGTCTTAGCAGTTGGCTGAAAGAGAAGTAGAACTGAGTGGACCTGTAGGCACTAAAGTTTTGCATTGTTTTGTTTGAGTGCAGTCCTGTAACAAAAAAAAAATCTAAATTTGTAAGTTGCACTTTCACAATAAAGAGATTGCACTACAGTACTTGTATGAGATGAATTGAAAAATACTGTTTTTTATCATTTTTACAGTGCAAATATTTGTAATAAAAATAATATAAAGTGAGCAGTGTACACTTTATATTATGTGTTGTAATTGAAATCAATATATTTGAAAATGTAGAAAAACATCCAAAATATTTAATAAATTCATTAACAGTGCGATTAAAACTGCGATTAATCGTGATTAATGTTTTTGAGTTAATCATGTGAGTTAACTGCGATTAATCAACAGCCCTAAAAAAACCCCTTATGACAATTATTAAGCTGTATCTAAATTGCGTGTTTTGAAATGTTAAGAGTTCCTAATAGCTGTCTGCAATACTCCCATTTAACAGGAATGATGTTAGGAGCATCGGGAAATACATTATTTGTATTTTTGTAACTTTCAGTGCCCTCCATTGTGATCAGAGTTCCATTGTCCTAGTCACTGTATGTACACCTAGAAAGAGCCCTCTAAAAGGAGTAGTCACATTCTTTCCTAAGTCAGGCAAGGGGAATGGTGCCTCCTGTTGACCCTATTTACTGCCTCTGAAATAAGAGGCTCAACTATCCTGTGATGAAACATTGTAAGCATCTTCCAGTATTACTTTTTCCTCCAGTAGACGGCGCTGCTTTTAACACAGCTGGTTAAATACATAGGGTGTGGCAGGATAGAGAGAGGACAATTACTACTTCAATTCCATGAGTATCAAGCAAGCCTATGGTGTAATTTGTGAAAGCCTGTCAAGTTTTTAAAATGACAACTAGGAGTTAGAGCAAAATTGTGGGTTGTTAAATGCTTTTAACTAGTTTTTTGTTAAATAAGCTTTTTTGGATTGTAGTTCCAGAGCTCATTGCTCTCCATACGTGACTTCAATGGGTAAACCAGCTATAAGCAAATGAACTGAAAAAAACAAAAGAATTTCAAAGCTATCTGAACCGGCTTCGTCACTTGACGTACACCTGGCAAATGAAATTTTAAAAGGAGAAGGAAAAAAATGCTGCTGATCAACAGAAGGGAAGATGAAATGAAACTAATTTGAAGCAGAGAAGTCAACTATAAGAGTGTCTGAAATAACAGGAACGTCTCTAAAAATATATGTGGGGGGGGGGGGAGGAAGGAGGAGAGGAGCAGGAATGAGTCAAAACTGGCTAGTAAAATGCCAAGTATGGAAGAAAGTACTTTTTCAGAATTGCAGCAAAGTTTTCCTAATACAGTGCATCCTAATACGAGTCACTGTATGATTAAATTTGAATTCACAAGCTTTGCAAAAAAAGATGCATCTGTCTGTACCACTGCGAATGGCTCAGTGATACGAATGCTGTATTTATACCATAAAATGTATGGCATTTGAAGAAAAGCCAGTTTGGGTGTTGAGAGGAAAGGGCTTTGATTATAAAAGCACACTTCTCACCTTTAGGAGTAAAAAGGGGGAAAAAAAAAAACCCCCAAAAAACAGAAACTTGAACTGTATCTGGGGAAGAATGCCGTCTTAGCTGTCACACCCTCTGGTTGTCCCTGAACGGAATTGTGGGCGGAAATTCTTGATGAACCACATACTAGCTCCTTACTTTGCCATCAGTGAAATATTTCAGGTGAGGCTGCTCCCAATCCTGATCCAGCGCAAGGACTGAGCCTGCCCCAGAAACACCCCAGGACCCTGCCCCTCCATGTGGGCAGGCAGGCTCAGCAAGGCGGGATCCAGGTGTGGGTTGAGAGGGTTCTGTGCGGGGCAGTCTAGGTGCGAGGGGGATCTGAATGCTCAGTGGATTGTTGGTGGGGGGTTCTGGGTGCAATGGTAATGGGACTCTTCGGGGGTCCAGGTGAAGGTGGTTGAGGTTCAGCGGGGGTGGGGTCTTGGTATGGGGGGAATAGAGCTGGCAGGGAAGTCTGAGTATAGGGTGCTTAGTGGGGGCTCCAGATGCTGGGAGAGTGGGGCTCAGTTGGGTGGGGATCCAGGTGCAGCTGGTTGGGGCTCAGTGGGGTGGGAATCCGGGTGTGGGTGGCTCGTCGTGGTGGTCCAGGTGAAGTGGGAGTGGGGCTCGGGGGGGGGGGGTTCTGAGTGTGTGTGGGGGTGAGTCTCAGCGGGAGGTTATGAGTATGAGGGGGACTGAATCTACGGGGGTTGGGCGGATGGGGGAGCAGCTCCTTATACAAGGATCCCTCCCCCTGCAGCTGAGGAGCAATGGGTGCAGGAAGCAGGGGTGGGGTGGGGGGTGAGGGGGTGGAGTTTGCAGAGCTTCCTGCAGCTGGGGGAGAAATCTGGGGGTGGGTCTGACCTAGCCCTGGATGCGGTGCAGGGAAAGAGGAAGTCCCGTCACCCCCAGCCGGGACTAGCAGCTGAGCCTAGCTCAGGGTAGGAGCCACCAGCCGGGTCTTCCAAGTCCCACCATGATTTACCTCTCTGCTGGTTGCTCTGTGGACCCAGAACATACTGCTGGGGCGGGGGTCGCATGACTCTTGTGACTTCCCTTTGCTTCCCTGTCAGAAAGTTATTTTTCTGCGGGGAAGCAAAGAAAATTTGTAGGGGACATAAATTCTGTGCATGTGCAGTGTTGCAGAATTCTCCCAGGAGTAAATGGATTAACTACCAAAAAAGATAAGCAGTTCTTTGCTGAATTCCCAAATGCCTTCTGCCTAAAGTGGCCTCTACACTTGAGAAGCATTTAGTCAGTGTCCCACTGTAGTGCTAGGAGGCATTGTGTTGCTGGGTGTGTGCTGTATTTCAGATCAAACTTAAAACCTGGTAATTACAAATTCCATGGAACTTTTATGAAAAATGTAGGGGTGTTAACTTGTGTATGGTGGCTAAATTCCAGTCATGGAATGGTAAGGTAATCAGAACATAAGTGTCTGTATGGGTGTGCACTAGAGGTTACCAAGCAATCTTCTAGCTAAAATTTGCTAGGAAGCTTTGTTTTAATGGCATAACACTGGAAAAATATAGGTTTCAGAGTAGCAGCCATGTTAACTGTATTCGCAAAAAGAAAAGGAGTACTTGTGGCACCTTAGAGACTAAATAAATTTTAGTCTCTAAGGTGCCACAAGTACTCCTTTTCTTTTTGGAAAAATATAGTGTAACTATATTTAAGTAATGATATGAACTTGTGTTGCAGATACAGGTATACAAGTTATCTGTGGGCTATTGGATCAAATTCAGGGAAATATGGGTGACACTATTACTTTTAATAAGTATAGCAAAACTAGGAAGATAAATTCATAAAAGGAACAGTGAGGATATAGTGGATCCCAAGAATAAAATATTTTTTCTCCCTGGGAGAAAGAAGGAAACGCTAGTTAACAGAATTCATATCAAGAGAGCATGGTGATTTCTGACTCTCTCTAAATAAGGCTTGTACTTGTAAAATGAACAATGAAAATTAGGTTGTTATAAATATTAGCAATTTTAGTGCACATAATTGTGCAAAATAAACAGATCTATTTTTTTATTTGAAACTCCAGCTTTTTTCCCTAATTTGCAATCCCAAAGGCTTTTGGGATTGTTGATGGACACATTTCTCTTGCACCTGCCAGACAGCTGTGCAGCTGCAGAAGTTTACAAATTTATTTCCTAGTTGGAACAGAAATGTAGCATAATAGCCTGTGTTTACAGTCAGCTGCCCTTGGACTCAGACTTATTTAGAGCTTCAGTGATGGCTTGCTTATTCTGTTTGGTTGTTTTTTATTATGTGAAATGAATTTAATATATTAGATGATTGGCATGCTGCACAAAATCTGCATTGTGAGAACCACAAGGAGCATAGGACCTTGCCTAAATCAGCTTTGTTAAAGCTTTTTTCCTACAGTGTAATAGTCACTGGGAATCCTAATCTGGATAAATGAAGTTATACCATATTCTGTGTGTTTTTACTTGAGATGGTAACTTCAGTGTTTCCTAGAATTTCCTTATTATATGCTCAGATAAGTGATAAGAGAAAACAAACTTATATCTTGCTATGGACCAGCGGCCTACTGGATCTGAGTGCTTCAGTTTTTGAGTGTCCAGCTTGAGAGATCTTTTAAAGGAGCCTGATTTTCAGAAAGTGCTGAGCATCCACCCTCTGAAAATCAGGCCCTTTAAATGTATTACATGTTGGGTCATCCAAAACTGAAGGCACCCAAAATCACTTGTTATTTTTGAAATTGTAGGCCAGTATCTCTTGATTTAACTGTGAGTGCCTCTGGACGAATTCTCAGAACAATCTAGCCATTTTCTTGCTAAGCTTAGGCAGTATTATAAGAGACAGCTTTGATAACACAAAGCTCATTTCTGATTAGCCTTAATTAGATGGAATCATTGCATTTATTTTCCTTGATAGAAATAAAATTGTACATTTCTGCTTAACAGACTGATTGGCCTTCAGGATGAGACAAGCTTCTTACATTCAGCACTAATCAGCTGAGCCACACCATGGCCTTTGCCTTCTCTCAGACTGAAGAGAATATGGGCATGTGAGAAAATACATGTAACAACTAAAAATAGTTTCCTTCCTCTGCTCTTATTAGAGATTTGAATCCATTAAACATTTGGGGCCAAACTCACCCCAGGAGTAAGTGGACATGATACCCACTGACTTCAGTGAGTTACTCTTGTTCACTCCAGTGCTGACTTAGGTCCATGTTGCGTGGAAACATAAGGGTTTTGTTCCCAGGGTCTATGTTTATCAATGATTTGGATAATGGCATAGAGAGTACACTTATAAAGTTTGTGGACGATACCAAGCTGGGAGGGGTTGCAAGTGCTTTGGAGGATAGGATTAAAATTCAAAATGATCGGGACAAACTGGAGAAATGCTCTGAAGTAAACAGAATGAAATTCAATAAGGACAAATGTGAAGTACTCCATTTAGGAAGGAGCAATCAGTTGCACACATACAAAACGGGAAATGACTGCCTAGGAAGGAGTATTGTGGAAAGGGATCTGGGGGGTCATAGTGGATCACAAGCTAAATATGGGTCAACAGTGTAATGCTGTTGCAAAAAAAAGCGAACATTATTCTGGGATGTGTTAGCAGGAGTGTTGTAAGCAAATCACAAGAAGTAATTCTTCTGCTCTACTCTGTGCTGATTAGGCCTCAACTGGAGTATTGTGTCCAAGTTCTGGGTGCCAAATTTCAGGAAGGATGTAGACAAATTGGAGAGAGTCCAGAAAAGAGCAACAAAAATGATCAGAGGTCTAGAAAACATGACCTATGAGGGAAGGTTGAAAACATTGGATTTGTTTAGTCTGGAAAAGAAAAGACTGAGGGGGACATGATAAGTTTTCAAGGATGTAAAAGGTTTGTTACAAGCAGGAGGGAGAAAATTGTTTTTCTTAACCTCTGAGGATCGGACAAGAAGCAACAGGCTTAAATTGCAGCAAGGGAGGTTTAGGTTGGACATTAGCAAAAACTTCCTAACTGTCAGGGTGGTTAAGCACTGGAATAAATTGCGTAGGGAGATTTTGGAATCTCGATCACTGGAGATTTTTAAGAGCAGGTAAGAAACACCTGTCAGGAATGGTCTAGATAATACTTAGTCCTGCCATGAGTGCAGGGGACTGGACTAGATGACCGCTCAAGGTCCCTTCCAGTTTTGATTCTGTGATTTTATGTTATACTCTTTGCTGTGATGAGTGATTCAAGAGTAAAACAGCTTTGTCATTTGAGTTATTCTGTTGTTGTTTTCCATAATAAACTGTTTTCTTTTTCATTCATAGTGATACACGGTTCTCTTAAAAATGGATCAGTGCTTTATTCTGTTTGATGATGCTATTGAACACCAGTAACAACACTCAGATACGATGCTGGATGCAGCAAGACCTTGGGGAAAAAAGCAAGACCTTGGGGGGGGGAAAGTCTTGAAGATCGTGTTGTGAAACCATATTTTTTTTTTATATATCCAACCTTAATCATGTTATATGTATCTTTTTTTGATCCTCTTGGTAATTATGTCTTCATGCTTATAATGTAGGTTTCTTATCCTTTCTATATCTTTTTATACAAAAACTAGTACACCACGCTGTTTGTTCTAGTCATTGTGAGTGGGTTTAACATGATGTATCACATTTCAGCTAGCTTATTCTTGACAATTTTGTGATAAAATACTTTAAAAAAAAAAAATCTTGTGAACCGTTTACAGTAAATGTGTGTGTGTGCACAGCATTCTAGCTTTCATTTGCTTTGTCTTAGTGGAAGCATTATATAACTTGTTACTAGTTTAATCATAACTTTTCTCATATATAATATTAAAAAAAAAAAAGACACTCTTTGTAGGTTGTGCTTTTGTTTACTGTGGCAGGTGTATTTGCATAATGAAAAACAAAGGGTACAAAATGCTAATGCTACACCAGAGGTGACAGAGAAGCTGAGTTTCCTAAACCATTGTGCCTTAAGCCATGTGTTCACCCTGCATGCCAAATATCTTTCATGGATGCCTATGAAGACTTGTCTTCAGTTCTCAAATATTGCTTGCAAAAATTTCTATCAAAGGCATTTTTATCCTACAGCCAACTGAGTGATGGCATGTACTGAGCTTTTTATATATCATGACACTAACTTCCCTTGGAGTTTTGTAATAAATTGAATGAACATGGAAAAAAAGTTGCGTGTGTTATCCTTTAATTTTAAATCACCTGGGCAGGTTAATAACCAAATCCATGTACAGCACTCTTTATTTTTTTTTTTAGGGGCTCGAGTGTTTATCATGAAGATGGAGCCTTTTTCTTAGGGCTTGTCTAAACACACAAGTTACACCAAGTTAGCTGAAATTAGTTTTGGTACCTGATTTCAGTGGGAGTTCAGCGCGCGCCCCCCCCCCCCACTTCGGTGCCTTTGAATATCCTGCTTATCTGCGTCTTTACAGGCCTAAATACTTTTGAAAATCTGCCCCCCAGACCTTGTTATGAACAAGTGAGTGTTGTGATGTTTGTGTTTATCGAATGTGTGGGCTTCACTTGCACTTCTTGTTATCCCGTGTGCACACACAGGAGCGTGTTTAGTACATGTGGCATGTAGACCATTTAATACAGGAAAGCGTTCTGTGCTTAACTGGGACATCTCTTGGGAAATTGATTTACTCTAATGCGAGTGAATGGTAATGACTACTGCTTTATCAGGACAGTGTTGACAAACAATTTGCTTCATGGGGATCTGTATTTTGGCTGTATTAAGCAATGTTAAACTGGGAAATGGTAAGCTCCAGTGTTAATAGAGAAGCTGCCAAAGTGAAGTTAAAGGGAGAAATGCCATGAATGACTTTGTTCCTGTATTTAAACCTCTCTAATTGGAATTCTAGACCTGTCTACTGAGATCCCAAGTGATGGGGGTTTTACTGTAAGCTTGTCTCTGACAAGTTGAGGGGATGAACATTCAACTAGGTGAACCTATGGATTCTTCCTATGTCATATTTCTAAAGTGCTATTGCAGTACTGCATGTTCTACAACTATCCTAAATTTCTACACCATCTATTTGTGCTCATGGAAATCAGGAGACTACTAAGGCCTTCACCTCTAATCTAAGGATAGCTGCATGCCATGGGAGGTAATATGAAAGGTGTCTCTGTCAGAGCAAATGGAGGCCAGACTTCCAGAAGTATCTAGTGATTTTTGGGTGCCCAAATAGATATATTTTTAAAAGGCCTGATTTTCCAGAAAGTGGCGAGCATCCTCCTTCTGAAAAATCAGGCCTCTTTCATGTTTTAATTTGGGCAACCAAAAATTGAGGCATCCAAAATATTCAGTCACAACTGTGCTTTTTGGGTGGGAACTCCAATTGACCAAGCTTCATAAGCAAATAACTAGTGGCTGATGCTTCTGACTGTATCATTTTTGGAGTCTCATCAGGGATACTCCAGATTAAGAAATTGGAATTGAATAAGGGTCCAGTGATACTCCGTCCCATGCCTGATGACCTTTAGTTGAATCCCTTCAGTGTTTAAATTCATAATATTTTGAAGTATTGTTTCATTTTAGTATGATATCTTTCTTCCCTGGCAACATCTACAATGATTCTTCAACTACATTTAGAAGTTTTCCTTTATTCAAACCCTCGCAGTTTATCAAGAGGAACATATATTCATTAAACCAATTTTTGTTGTTGCAAGATGCCTGTTAGAGTAACTCTCTTGAGCTGCAGATTTTGATCCTGTTTTTCCACTATGCTGTCACTCCTGGCAGGGCAGTGTTAGTGTCAAGTACTGAATAAAGTCCATTTTCCTTTGTGGACTCCACACAGGTTTTATCGGAGCAGATGTGAAGCTTTCTAGTATTGTGGGACAAAAAGCCTGCATATGTCTGTTTTAAAGGCTGTCTTTAGCAGGATCTGAGAGAGCATGATTACAATCTGTTCAATCTGCATTGCATTTAAAATTCTGTGGCAGACTAACAATTTATGAAGCTGATGATTGGATTGTTGGTGCCTTTTGCTGTGTGGTGAAGACTAATGGCTTGTGGTTGTCTAGCATCCTTAAAGGAGCAAATATGGAAACAATTACTGTACTTTGAAAGATTTTTTTCTGATGGTTGAATCAATGAATGAAAATGAATTTGGGGTGATTTCATAGGGGTTTTTAAAACATGTGTATGAGATGGCCAACCTCCAACTTTACAAGTCTTTCTGTGTTTTGATATGGGGTGGGTTGAGATGACAGAATAGCTGAAGTAATGGCCACAACAAGAACTTGAAGCCAGTACTATAGTATGTGTGCCAGGTTTGGTCCAACATATGGAACATCTATGTAATTATTAGTGCAAGTACATCTATCACTATACAAAATGCTTGTGTATTGTGCCCAAGAATCATGTATTATAGTACACACAGAGGAAGGCCACATACCTAAAGTCAGGCTTCAACAATGGGAAAACTGATTGAACTGTACGTAAACCTATCCTGCTCTTATATACAGTCTGTTTATCAATAGCTGGTATGAACTCATGGTGTATTCTTTTGTGAAGGAGTTAGTAATCTTAAAGGTTTCAGAGTAACAGCCGTGTTAGTCTGTATTCGCAAAAAGAAAAGGAATACTTGTGGCACCTTAGAGACTAACCAATTTATTTGAGCATAAGCTTTCGTGAGCTACAGCTCACTTCATCGGATGTATCCAATGAAGTGAGCTGTAGCTCACGAAAGCTTATGCTCAAATAAATTGGTTAGTCTCTAAGGTGCCACAAGTACTCCTTTTCTTTTAGTAATCTTAAAGTACCCCATAGGTAATAGCCCTTGTCTGCTATAAGATTTTTGGGGACTGATGTTTTTTCTTCACAGGTACTGTGGCTTGGAAGTCAATGAGAACTGCTTCTTTAGAAATCAGGTCTCTAGAGACTCCCATGTGTGTCCCTTACCATTAATATGCTGTATATTTACTCTCTAGTACTGTCCCTAAATTACAGTCTAGTTCTGCTTGCCTGTAGAGGGTTTTGAATTCATCTAGGCTCATGATATGACAGTCCTGTCTCCCTATAAAACACTGCACTTCAATTGGCAGAGTTTTCAATCACAATACCACCTCTTAAAGTTGAGTAATGGAAACATGGCAAATTGCTACCCTGTACAGTGTTTTTGTAGGGAGGGAAAGCTTGACTCATATTGTATCTCGAGGTAATATGTTAAATCGCAGAGCATGTATTTTCTAATTGATCCAGTTAAAAAGACAGCCATTTCAATGGGGTTTCCTCTCTCTAATTTCTGTGGTTCTGCTCATTATTAACAACTGTTTCTTGCAATGGGTTATTGACAACTGTACTGCATGTCATAGACTCTGATCCTGCAAATACTTACACCTGTACATAACTTTATGCAGATGTGTCCCAGTGACTTTAGTGAGAGTAGTCATGTACATAAAGTTAAGCATGAGTGTAAGTATTTGCAGGATCAATGATATTGAACACAATTTTCATGTTGGTACTAACACTTCCTTTTCCAGTCATTAACATTACACTTCAAAGGCTGCATTACTGTAATGGTAAGGTAGCACAGTTAAAATCACAGTCAGGAAATGCAAAAGTTAAGGTTCCAGCAACAAGATAATTAATCTGTGATTACACATGTGCTTTCTACTCACCTTGCTAAATGAATGAATTTACAAGACTGTAGGTTCTTTGGAGTAGGTTCTTTGTCTTTACTTACGTCTCTACTGTGTGTAGCACAATAGGGCTTTGACCTGACTGGGTCTCTGCATAATATAAAAGTTTTACAAAATGAATGGGTCAATTAAAAACTTTAAATGTGAAAAAATCCTCATGAAGGCAATACTTTCATAGATCCATAGGTTCTAAGGCCAGAAGCACCCATTGTGATCATCTAGTCCAGTGGTTCTCAACATATTTACCATTGTGGGCTGCATATGCAGCTCTCTGTGTTATCTGGGCCGCATCCACATAATGTATATACAGATGCTCCACGGGTTACGCAAGACCCGACTTACGCAAATTCGCACTTACGGAAAAAGTTCCGTAAGCTAGAAATAGGAGGTGGGTGTTTTTTTGTGCAATGTTTGGGTATACATTTCTGACTTGTGCAAAATTTGAGTTACGCAAGGCTTTCCCGAAGGGAACGACTGTGTAAGTCGGAGAGCGTCTGTACTACCTGTATGGCCTGGAAGTTGTCACATGGGCCACAGCTGTGTGCTGATTGGGCTGCAAGCAGCCCTCGGGCTGCAGGTTGGGAACCACTGATCAAGTCTGTAATACGAGCCATAGAATTTACCCAAAATAATTCTTAGAGCATGTCTTTCAGAAAAACATCCACTCTAGATTTAAAAATTTGGCAGTGATAGAGAATCCACCCTTACCCTTGGTAAGTTATTTCAATAGTTAATTATTCTCACGGTTAAAAAGTTATGCTTCATTTATGGTCTGAATTTGTCTAGCTTTCACTTCCAGCCATTGGATTGTGTTAGCCCTTTCTCTAAGGTTGCACAGCTGTAGAATCTGTGGGAAAAGTTAAGCTATGTTAAAGGTATATCATAAAGCAACCAGGAAACCCTTGTGTGGTAAAAGAATAGTCTTTCTTTTCTAAATTGGTTCTTATACTGTGACCATTACCATAGTTTGCCTTAAAGAGGTTACTGTCTTGTAAATTAATGGGTCTACTTTTCTTCCTTACCCAATGTGTTTTTCCATGTGTATCCCTTGCACAGTAAAACACTGTTAAATTGTAACATCTGCAAGGGTAGTAGAGGTCTCAAATGACCTAACTGTATTAACTGTTGGCAATTGAAGAAACCTAGTAACGGTCCTTAGTGAGGATAACTTACGGTGGAGACTT